CCTCCACAACCCTATACCAATATTTGGGAACTGTTGATAACAATGAAATAAGTTCCATAATTCTATTAAAGTGCATAAAAAATGCACATCGATAATAGGATAGCACACATAGTAGTTTGACACTAATCATAACACAGATGGCGATAAATAGTCAATGATTAAATAAACAAAATATAACAAAATAACCAGTGACTTTTTATGTTTGTTTATCATAATAATTTTTCTACTGAGATTAAAACAAAACTCTTTATATCAATTAGTAAATTATTTGGTAGTAAAGTTGACTGAGGTTTCAACCTCGGTGGATATATAATATTGACATATCTTCTAAAAATTACTAGTTTCTTTAAGAGTAGTTAGTTTGATCAAAAATTAAATCTTTTAGTGCGAATACATTTATTGATCTGGATCAGAACATCTTGTTTAAAGAATGAAAAGCTACCAAAATCTGTTTTTTTATCTACCAGCTCTGGACAGCATCATCGATGAATGAATAGGATATGATGCAGACTTAAAGGCAAGGATTGGCAAAGTAAGGGTGGTATTCCTATCTTTGAAGAACATATGGAACTGAAATCAACTGTCAACCAATATCAAAGTGAAAATCTTCAATACGAACGTGAAGGCAGTTCTACTGTATGGAGCTGGAACTTGGAGAACTACTACAACCAACATCAAAATAGTACAGGTGACGGCTTTCAAAAACAATTATATGCATGATACTCTTTGGATGAGTATCACTTGGTATTCGGCTGAAGTATAGTTATAGCATTATTCATTTAGTGTGTGTAAACGTTTGGATAAAAATGTTACTTTCGTAGAACTTAATGATATTCTTTTGGACAGCAAAAGCATTTTTGTGTTAGATCAATGTTAACAATAACTTGAACAGAAAATACACTCATTTATTGATTTTACTCATAACTGATGATTCGTGAATAAATATTATGCATAGGAAAAATGCACAGAATTACCACAAAAACATGTATATCATAATGAAAAAAGTTCACATTAAGTTGGTACAAAGAATATTATATTCATCAAACATTATACTGAAGTAAAAACACTATAATACTACACAAAGAGTGATAATGAACAAAATTTACACAGTTCAAATGTTCGGTTAAACTTTTGCTCACCTTATCATAGGATTTATTAGTTTCTTTGCAGGAAACTTTTACTCACTGTTGATCTGTGATTCGTTCTTGTTATTATTATTATCATTATTCTGTTAATATTGTTAGCATATAGATTCTAAACACATTTAACTTTTTTTCAAGTTACAAATCTTGCATTTATTCATAAGACCAAGTTGGAATATTTTATCAGGTTATTATGACATTTGTTTCCGATATGTTGACAAAATATTATTATTACATTGTTTAATATGTAAATATATATGTATACAGAAACTGAAACGTAAATAGTTTCTTTGTATACTTCATATCGTGCTTTGGCTTTAGTGTAAAATATTTATAATCTATACAGATTTGTATTCATCTTTTTTTTTACAGAAATCATTTTACTTCTGCAATGATGAATGATTCTTTATGGGCATAAATTATCATTACAGAACTTGGATACATATTTTGTGCAAATGAAACTTCGTATCCTTCTTGTTATTTATTATAATTATTATTAAGTAACTTATTGTAAAAACAATGTTAAGTAAATCTGTTGTTATAATGTATAAGTTGGTTATTTTTTCATGTTCTTTAAAATATACAATTATTTGCATGCTAAGTTAATGTAATTTGTGGGATATTTAGGGAAGTAAACGAAATTATGGTTTCCTATGTTAATATATATGAAGTAAATAAGTAATTATGAACATCTTTGTTTAGCAGATATATACATTAATGAGATAACAAAACACCCGATGAAAATCTGGAGGCACAGGACGACTGTTTCTTTTTACTACAAAGCTCCCTTTTATTGCAGATTCAGAAATTTACCACAGGGAGACTCACACGCGAAGGGTTAACCTTTAAACCATTGAACCGGGATCTAATGATGCACAAATTTAAATCCAATGAATCTGTTATATATATACCCATATTTTAGACAACCTGACAGAAATATTTAAGTCCTCATGTCAAATTCACGTAAACAAGTTATGAAATAAATCAAAGTTTATCTGTCAAACGTTTTAAATAGTAAAATCTAACTCAGTTGTAATCACACTTAGGCTCAAATAATTGCACTATCTTATGTAGTACTGTGTAAATACTGTATTTTTGTAAATAAAAAGGCTAAAGAAAAAATTTAATCTATATTATTTAATTACTCCATTATTTCATTCCAGTTACGAGTAGAACGATACCTTCTCATTACAAGTAAGTAGTATCAGTATTGATTAAATAGATGTACTGTTTTCCTTTTGCTATTTAGTACTCTCACTCAGATTATTACTATACTAAGCGGATCTTCAACATTTCCTCTTACTCTCAAAATCCCTTTTAAAACATTTTATGGTTTTTCGCCTTTGAGGCAAAAATTAATTATTTGCCAAAATGGTAAACAAAACATACTTTATTGTGTGACAACTAGAAAATACTAGGAGTAATTCTATTATTGCCTTATTGATATTTGGTACAATGTAAATAAACATCACAATTTGAACTGATCAGGAACAGTTTGAATCGTTTACCTATGAGCAGTTCAAACTTCAACTTTAGAGATTTTGATTTTCCGATACTACATAAATTAACTATTGATAGCTTGATTGAACGTTGATGAAAGCCTGTATATTAAGTCAATATTGAAAAATAACTCATCAGTGAAATTGGGTAAATACAGTTCTCTGTAACAAATTGAGTGCACCTGTAAAATATGGACCAGTATATCTTGGTTTAGTGATGCGAACCTAGTGCTTTCTGCGAGATTTCAGTCTCTATTTCTTACGGAGTAGGACATCGTTCCATATTGTCGACTTGACTCCATGTAGGACAAAACAATTAACACGCGCTTTTACTTGTTCCCTAATTGATTTTAGTTTATAATGTATTCAATCTCAAAATTATATATCATGTTTTTAAAAAATGGAATTATTCTTGTAAAATGTAATAGAAACTGAGAAAATGATTCGTTTTAGCTTATTGAAATGTACGTGTTTCCGTGTATTACTTTCTTGAATAAATTATATGTAAGACTGATTTTAACATTTGTCATATTTAAATTTACGTTGGAAATCGATACCTATCAGTAATTAAATGATACCATCAAATTTTCTTCATATCATTGACTTCTTGTTCTTGAAAACACGCATATAAATGTATAATAGTAAAGCCTACATCGAATGCTAATTGTAAAAGAACATAATGCTTCCATCTATTTGGTTGTAACTTAAGTTTCCATTTGTATGTCGTCGATATGTTTTCAAACTTTGCTTGTAGCTCTTCTAGGGCTACTATCGGTCCCAAGATCGGGTAAAGAAGGTGGGTTGAGCGAGGGGTCGGCAACCTTATAGAATCTCACGTGCAATTGAGTTTGCTCTCATTTAATTCGGTTAAGCCCTTTTGTTAACTTAATAAACGGACAAAGTCATCTGTACTATAGCGACTTATTGTACCACTATTATTGTTATGCTTGTATGAATAAGTATGCTTGAACATTGTTGAATGCCCACGCATATATTCATCCTGCTAGCTTTATTATTAGCCGCTTAATTGATTCGATAATCCATTCATTTTTCTATATATATATATATATATATATATATATATATATATATATATATATATATATATATATATATATATATTTAAGACTACACATATTCACGGTTCGCTGACTCATCTATTCGCCTCTCTGCTATGTGGTTTGAGTTACCTGCTAATAAAACTGTAGTTGCTGCTTCTCTTTGCCTTCTGATTCCAAACACCGTTGAGGGATTATACGATAACGGTTACAAGGGTGATTGGTCAACGGAGCACAGCTACTACAAACTCATCCAGTAGAAAACAACTTTGCAAAATATCTCTAACTAGAATAACAATAGAACCAAATAAACTCTGCCCTCTGAATTGAAGGATCTACTTTCAGAAGCATTATGACGCCTCATGTATTCTCCTGCTTTCATGCTTTCTTCGGGGCTCTAAAAATCTCGCAGGCTGCTTATTATGTATGCTCATATATACGAGTTTCGGTTTGTATGGCTTATGTTTGTAGGTAAGCCCAAAAATGTCTTTCCTATATCTACTAAAATCAACAGTCTAATCTTTCAGGTCGAAGATATAGTAGAAAAAATGGTAGCAAATACTAGGGGAAGATAATCATCATCACCTTTCCTGAAAGACTACTTATACTTATGCGTATGTAATGAAATGCAAGGGTGAAAGCCTTTATATCAATGACATGTATATTATCCATAAATGACAGTCAGTCATAGCAAATAAGTCCAAAGGAAGCTGTAATCATCAACCCTTCCAGATGGGTGAATAAACCTTAATGTATGCTATGCAATGTATGATGCATGTATGTTACCCATGTGCATGTAACATATGTTTACTAACGAGTTAAGTATACCTGTATGTATATCAAGAGACATATCAGTGAAAACTTATTTGAATTCAGTATGAATATAGACTAATACTTGCCCATGAACTGACATTTGAGCTCCAAGACCTAAAGGTAATGATAAATTATATAAATAAGTCATAAATTTCTTTTATTGTATATAAATTGTTCAAAACAGTTTATTCAAAATATATATAATATGTATTTATAGAAACAGAAACATTTTACAGAATAAAATAATTCCAACCTAAATAATCAAAATATATTTATTCATAAGTTTATAATTTATATTCTATAAACTAATGATATTCTCTATCATTTGTATTACAATGATTACATTATCTAATTAATATTATGTATTGATTTATAATTATATAATCTAATCAATCTATTATTCAATCATCTTATCAAACATTATATATATATATATATATATATATATATATATATATATATATATATATATATATATATAAGTAGTACATTAATAAAACATTTAAATAATCATAGAAAATATATTAAAAACTATTAGTTCGTTGAATTGATTTATTGAAAGAATTTGTTTTTTTGATTGTTTTGTTGATTGTTTTATTTTGATTTTCATAATTATTTTCAAAAGATTTTATATGAGATTTAAAATTGGATATTTCAATTGAACATGGATCAATTAAATTTTCTGATTTTCTAGAATGTAATAAATATTGACGATGAAACTCCTATTATTGATTAAAGTATAAAAATAAATAAAATATAATTTATTAATTTAATAAAATGTATAAATATAAAAAATATAATATGGTATTGTTTATTTCATTAAAAATCATTTACCTGAATTAAAATTCTCTTTTAAAACCTTTTTCTTTGTTCAAAGCAAAAATGGATAGTGGCTAGCAGTGGAATCCAGGACGCGCGATTCGTCCTATTTAGGACACATCAGCTGAGTGCACATGCATCTTAGAGTTGATTTTCACTCTGGAACGTGATCTCAATATCGTTCGTTTCAAACACTATCATGTTATCCACTTAGCTACTGAGTACTGATAGCTACTTACTTGTGCAATGAGGTGAAGTTCAAATTCATTGAGTATTGTTTGTTTGAATCTTCCCATTGATGTTTAAGACTTCAATTGATCAGTCTCTTATTAGTATATGTGCATACTATGCGTATCGCCTCAATAATACCTTAATTCACAAATAGAACGAAACAAACGTCCTGGGTGCCATTGCTAGCCACTAAACATCTTTCCTTATAATGCGTGTGAATTGCGGTAATATCGAGGCAATACTCATAGTATCCACATATGCCAATAAGTGACTGATCAATTGAAATCCTAAACATTAATGTGAGTATTCAAGTAAACAAAAGTAAGTGACTTTTTCTTTGTTTATATCAAATCTATTTTCGACAACACTAATAATTATTTCCATTATATACTACTTTATAATGAAATGCAAGGAAGTAGCTGATGTAAACCGTTTGTCCCAACCAACAGTTTCAAGTGTTCACTGCTGGAAAAATATGAACAGAGAATATTACCAATTAAATTTTTACTGGTTTCTAATGAACTTTAAACTATCACCGTTTTTGTTAAAAATTACTATTGATTTCTAATTGGTTAATATTTTTAATAAAATATTCTTATTTGGGACTCGTCAGTCGGATGCACCTGCATTGCAAATTTGATGCTTATTCCAGGACTCAAACCCAGTACCGTTCGTTTTAAACGCCATCGCGTTATCCCCTTAGCTACTAAGTCCTGATAGTCCACGTGCTTGTGCATTAGGGTGAAGTTTAAATTCACTTGGTGCTGTTTTACTTGTATGTTTGCATTGTTATTTAGGAATGCAATTCATCAGTCTCTTGTTGGCATATTATTAGAACATATTAGAACAACAATAAACTTTCTATGTATGTTAATTATTTTATACATGAATTGTATCAGCTTAAACGTATCCTGTTTAATAATAAAATGTAAAAACTGGTGAAAGAATACTTTTCATCAAGTTCATTTTCAAAACTGTACAACTGTATCTATTTGTATCAATTTTAAATTCTATATAAAAATTTTATATTGTTGCTTTGCCGGTGTCTTAAGTTTTGATCAGAATATTGACTACCTGATTCATCATTATCATAATCAAGGAATCATTAACTAAACAGTCGAATTGAAGAGAATGAAATGTGGATGGATACCAAAATCTCCGAATTCAATAATCTTTTATATCAGTAACAAGACAACAACAAAAAATAAAGAAATGTTTCCACGTATAAACCACTGTGTGGTAATTAACGTCATTGTTTGTCTAGTAACTTAGTATTCATAATCGGACAAGTTTGTCACTAAGTCGAATAATTCGGCATAACTTGCATCACTCTCTGTTATTCGGTGGTTAGAGAAGGATTTTATATAATTATCAGTCTTTCCAGTTCTTGTCGTTAACGCATTCAGTTGCTTCAAGACTATCACTGTTTTGCTTAATTGATATCCAGATGAGATCCAACCTATTATCTCAATAGGCACATTGTCTGTACTATTTTACTTAGCTATCAACAAATCAATCAAAATATACAAAATTTCGACGAAGATCTAGTTATATGTTTCAGATTATTTAAGATAAATTAGATAATTTCAACCTTTTTAGTGAGAATGTTTGCGCAATGATTTATCTAAACGTAAATATTAAGTTTACACAATATTAGGTATATCGTCAAACCTAGTTTTATCATCCACTTATATTTTCATTCAGTAGGTTTTTAAAAATTTATCCAACTTAACAATCGTTTTCACCACCGACTGATATTAACAATAAAAACCAAGAAACACATATTGACTTCTTTATTCTAATTTCACCACTTCTTACAGGTCCATGCTCACAATTCTGGATGGTGTCTAGCACATAGAATTTGCAGTTTATACGCTACATTACATTATCACACTATTAAGGTAAGTAAGGTCCTTGCTAGTGACCTAATTTAGTGAAAAACAGGATTTTCGCTCCAACTTTATGAAAGTTACCTTAGACCTACTCACCACTGAGCATAAGAATATTATCTAGTTGTGTTTGTATTCATCTGTTCAGGTTTTTCATTTTCAAAGATTCTACTGACAGTCAATTTCTTTACATTTTATTTCTCCGTAATCTTTCATTCTTGGGAACATTTCATAATTTCGTTATTCGCTTAAGACTAACCGAATATTGACTGAATTACACAAAATATAACATGAAATTTCTCATAGGTTCTAAATTAACACTGTTCAGTTTAAATGTTTTAAACCTGAACCTACTGTTTCATCATTTCTGAAAATGCATTCCATTAAACACATTGATAACATAATGAGAAAACATAATATCGTCAACACATTTATCAAAGTCAATGAGTGTAGTGAAAACTTGATGTATGATGAAAACCAAACGTTGGCATTAGTATGATAACCGTTCCAGAAACATTATAAGTCATACAACTATTATACTTTATAGTGTCGTAACAAACCCTATAAATGTATATTTCATATTGTATAACCTAAACGACGAGGGACTATTCTTACTTTAGAGGTATAATAAAGAACTAATAAGTATAGAAAATATAATAATATTCATAATAGATTGAATAAGGAGGCTGAGGAAACATATGTAGAAGTATTGAAGACTGAAATATTATTATTTTCTATCATTCGAAGCAATGAACACACTAAACTTAAACTGTATAGGTACAGATGTGGAAAATTCCTTCTTAAGAATGTTACACACTAACAAGAATTCATAGAAAAAACACGATCTCACAAATGGAAAATTGTTCCAAAAAGAACTATTTGTATATTTTTCACTCACATGATTTGTTAGCCATGTATTATGCGATTCTTTAAAATGATCAGTGTCTTGACAGTCGATCACAAAAACAGTAGATGGTTGATATGTTTGAGCATTAAATACCCTGTTATAATTTTGAATTGAATTATATTGTGGTTGTAGTATACGATTAAATCTGTAAATACCGATTCTTTTTTTAGCTAGTCCAGGGTGTGTATTACTGCCAAATGTTGTACTCGGTACAGGTAGTTTTTCTGCAACTTGTATTTCATTAACATCATATGGGAAATTGATTTGTAACGCTGAATCACGATCGTTACGCATTTGTTTTCTTGATTCTGTTTGACGTTTACAAAAGCTTCTGTATGTCAAGAGAAAAAGAAAATGAAAAAATTATTTTTAAAAAATCGTTAATCATAGATTTTTGTCACCACAATTTTTCTGGAAGTATAACAATTGTCATTGAAGACAGTCTTACAAATATCTAAACCAGTACAATAAAATTAAATAAGACTGAATGAGAATTCAATGACAGCTCACAGCTCAGGAAGTGTCAAAACGAAAACATAGTCTTTTTTGAAAATTTAAACTTGATCCTCTTAGCTTGTAATTGGTTGGAAATTACCTTCTTCGACACTAAAACTAAATCAAAATGAACAAATATTCTTTTATTTAATGAATGTTTCTGTAATAATAAAATGGATTTTGACCAATTTTGTTTTTAAAAAGGAATATATCTAATAAGCTTGAAGTTAGTTTCTTTTAGTTAAGGCTGTTCTGTCCAAATGAAACAAATCATGAATAGGTATTCTATTAATTATTTTTGAGCTCTTGATTATTCTTGTCATTGAATGTTTGACCAACCTGTAATCAGTTACAACTTCTTAGCTTACTGATGTTTAAGCTCTTAATAATTTGTTTCCCACATCAAACAATTAATCATCTCTAACTTGAATATAAGTTACACGGTAAATAGAACTGGTAGTTTATATTAAATTGATATTTTTAAGTCTTTGTATTACATAATATATTAATTTATATTAATCTTATCAAAAAGAATGTGACAGTCAATAATATTCTTATCGTGGTCTACGAAGAGCGTATTCATTTGACAGAACAGTTCTTTAATTAGCAAGGCATATAAAGTTTGTATCGGTCAAACCTATAAAGTTGTCAGCAACTTAAATACAACGTTCTTCAATATGTAAACTTGGAAGAGGCAATAGACTTCTAAGTACAATAATTCAAACTCAAAATTATCCAATGTCAAACAATTCGACTGAGTTATGGCACATTTTTGTCGCAATACTGATGTTTTAGCCATCTGGTTGATAAAATAATAAACAAAGCTAAATTCACTTGGTATTGTTTGTTTGAATCTTCCCATTGATGTTTGGGACTGCGATTGACCAGTCTATTATTGGCATATGTGCATACTCTGCGTGTTACCTCGATATAGCCTTAATTCACAAGCAAGTGGCCATCAGGATTCAGTAGCTAAGTGGATAATAAGATGGCACTTGAAACGAACGGTACTAGGTTCGAGTCCTTTAGTGAACATCAACTTTGGGATGCAAGTACATCCAGGTGACTAGTCCCAAATAGGACGAAACTCGCGTCCTGTATTTTACTGCTAGCCACTACTCAATTTTGTGAATGAATAAAGTTGTCTTTACTTATCTGTGTAGAACATTTTACTTACCTAATACGTAAAACAACAGCCATCAGAAAGCAAATAATGAGCACAGAACAAAGAGTAATTACGATTAAAATTTGTACTTCATTTCCACCATATTTATCTATGAATTAAAAAAAACAGGTTATAAAAACATTATGGTTCATTGACAGAAATATATAAAATGTAGTTATAGCTATTAAATATAATTTTGATCTCATTAGTTTCGATATTTTCAAATTTAATTATTTTAATAAAAGAAATTAAAACAATGTGTCTACGAAATTCGATGAAAATAAATTACATTAGGAATTCAATTAAACCAGAAAACCACTGAAACCAGGCAGTTCCAGGCACTTTTGTCCAAGTGAAGAGTCCTTTTACAGGTCTACAAACTTGACGTCACACACGACCTTCAAATTTAATGAAGAGAAAGAAATTACTAATTCAGTGAGATGAAATTCAAGAGTTGTAGGTATTACAGCTTGAAAGAATTCGTTACTTAATATTATGCGTAGGACATCATTTTACTTCTATGTGCCAATGATTCTGATTAGAATATCATGAAAGTTATTCAACATCTAAAGGCTAATCAGTGAAGTGATTTTAATTTTGTTCATATATTGTTATCGTATTTGTTTTCCTTTATACTAACTGAGTTGTCGATAGACTTTGAGAGAAAAAGCTATTAGTGTAATAGTTTATTTGTCTAAATTTTTTGTTGAATTGATTAATATTTTTTCTTGTGATGTACGTTTCTTTTTGGAATCGGAAAAGAAAACTGTTTTTGTGTTTTTGATCGAGATCATGAATCGACTGATGTTAGACCACCGTTGGAAACCTAGAAGCACTGGACGGCCGTTTCGTTCTAGTATGGGACTCCTCAGCAATGCGCATCCACGATCCCGCTCGCGGGATTCGAACCCAGGGCCTTCAGTCTCGCGCGCGAACGCTTAACCTACTCGACCACTGAGCCGGCATCCAATGGTGTTAGTGTTAGTGTTCTTTGAGTAATATTTTACATGTTTATATAGATCGTGTATACTAATACCACCAACCGATGAATTATAGAAAATTTAAAAATAACAATAGAAATTTTCACTTCTACTGTCAACACCTTATAAAGTAAAAACGATATACACGTTTCATAGATAATGCGTTGTGTTTCGATGTTCTACTTTTGCTAGAACACTAAGCATTCCACTAGAGATGACAGTATATATTTTCAAATTGAACGTCTCATACAGATAAAGTTCCAGCACAGTATATTAGAATGGTTTTAAAATATCTAATCGGGTCTAAAATATCAAAGATGCATTACAAAATTATGCCAAGTTTTAGTGAATAACTCTTGTTTTTCTAACTTACTAATAATACATAGCTTGTCTACCATGGGAACTAATATTTTGACTAGTTCTTATTAATACCAGGTTATAAAAAAATTTCCCTGAATCTGTAGCGAGGATAAACTTTCTTGTTGTATAAGCATTCAAAAAAAGACATTTTAAATATAAATGCTGTAAGCTAGAACTATTTTCTTTTCTTTATAACTTACCAGACTTTGTTTCATTCTTGACATTTTGCACACCATGATTTAAATCATGATTATTTAACTCACCAAATATATGGTTATTATTAATACTACTATGATCAATCATTAAACTTCTCAAATTTTCAGTACAATATGTCACATTAGTAATTGATAATTCATTATCACGACTTATTGAATTATCTTTTTTGCTATAACCTTTTTTATTGTAATGAATTTGTCGATTGACAGTTTCAAACCAATCCATAAATAAATCATCTGGTTTTATATATTTTTGTGTCCAAACAATAATTTGCATTTTTAATACAGAATAATCAATATCATGAAAATCTTCTTGATCATAGAGAAATATAGGATTTTTATCATATAATTCTAATATAATACAACCAGTGGTGGTTGGTACTGTCACATTGTCCGCACTACTATGAATATTGTTATTAATAATGGTAGTTTTATCTGAAGGTGATATGTTCTCATGAATATTTGTAGTATTATTTAAACGTACTGCAATCGATAATAGTTGTTGTAGCCATTGTGAATTGGTGAAACTGATCGTTTTAGAATTGTAATTTAGTTTGAATGAATCTTGTTGAAATCTTTCTCTTACTCTCATGTTGTTCAATATTGATTTATTAATTAGTTTTTTTGGATGCTAGTTAAGTTCAATTTCCAACTGATATTGACTCCATGTTCTCAGTGAACGTTTATCTACAAAATAATCAAATAACCAAGAGAAGCCGTCAATTTTATTATTTTGTGTTATAAGTTATCTAAATGTTACTTTAAGATGCAGAACCAAATTTTAGTTTATTTTTATTAAAACTAAGATGCATTTCAAGTGAGGATCGGTGTCACACAAAGTTGTTTACTCCTACTCATTCTGTTTCTTCAGGAGGCCGATTGGATTATGAAGACCACCACATATCAAGGGAAATACGGGACAGATGACCTGTTTACGTACGTAGGCAGCATCATCGACCAAGTTTAGGAAAAACAACTGCCTCATCTCTTCAATTGAAAACATATGGAACTCAAAACAACTGTTAACCCACATCATGACACGTATACTGTACGGAGCTGAAATTTGAAAAACTAACTTGGGATCCTCTGAAGAAAAAAGAAAGCAGACCATAAGACATGTTGCCTTAGGAATAGTGGGTAAATATCAAAAGAATAAGTAGTAGTTGAGAACAAATGGGAAGGTGAGCCCAGGACAGAGTACGTCGGACAATACTGCTCGGCAGAATGTTCTACACGAGGGATAGCAGGTGTAAGTAATGATGAAAACTACGCTGTGAGATCATGTATTACATATATTATTGGTATTATTATATTTAAATTTAAGATAATAGAACTGCTTGTTGCTGACAATGAGCTTCTTATAGGTCATTACTCTATTCTATCTTTGTCTACTGATCAAAATTAAAAGCTATTATACGAGGTATTTCACTATTTGCTATCAATAATCAAACCTTCAGTTTCGTAGAACAAGTATGTTGTTTTACATTAGCTACATATGTTACAGTCTCATATTACTTAAAATTAACTTAATCAATATAGATGAATGTACCACAGAATTTCATCTTATGTTGTATTTGAACGTTATTACTACGTTAATTAATGACCTCAACGTTTTAGAAATTCAATTAATGAATGTATTAAACACTTTGACTTGGATTATTAACAAAAGAACAATAGCTGGGAGTTTATTCATCCAACTTATTTTAAGAATAACTTAATCCAACCTCATTTTACATTTAAGTAAATAATATGTGAGGAAAAAAACGATGTAATGGTCATAGTTACTGTGATCTAGCGCTTCGAACTAAAAAAAGGCATCACCAAAATTAGGGCGTCTATTTTAATCTTCGATGGTATTTCAAAAGGTAATTGTAATAGAATAATCTAAGGGGGAATTCTTAGGGATGTTTGAATTAGCGATGTACTTAATTGTTTATACATGATATAGGGTGTAAATACTTAACAAATTTCCATAATGTCAATCAATTAAATGAAAATTATTACTATACACTTGGTTGTTTGACAAATAATACAGAATAATGTAAAACAATAGTTAAGTACAGAATAATTTACAGCAAAAATAAAAAAATGAAATGCAACTATTATTACACATTAGTTGTGTAAACTTAAAAGCATTTCATACAATGTCTTTAGTAAATTAAATTAATTGAATGGTATTAGTTACCTATTTAATGTCTGAATGGTGCACTGAATTCAAGTTTCATGGGGTTAGAAAAAATGTTAATAGTATTAAAGAAAACATGATTATAAGCAACATTATGGATAATATCTTAGTAAAAGAACTAACTTCATGTCAACAACTGTTGATTATCAAGTAATATTTCATTTTATAAAAAAAGATTTTTATAAACTGAAAAATGTATAAGGCTTAATAAAAACAAATTTTAAATGAATAATTCACTAAGGAATAGGTTTATCATGTCATATTATGAAATAACATTTAGCCTAAAAACTAAAACTAATCAAAAGCGTCTTTGAGAAAAGAATTCTAACTATCTTATTAGTATGAATTGAAACAGTATATGTTTCTTTTTAAACTATATTAGTTCAACTCTAGTTGTCTATAAAAGACATCATCACAGTTAGCATTGTTTATTGTTGGTTTCTTTTTTCTTTCTAGATGTAAACTTCTTCTTAGGTTTCAAGTTGTACTATAACTGATGTCAATCTATCATGAACCTCATCAAAGAATACCAGACAACCCTTGACATTGAGTGTCATAAAAAGCATAAGAATTTCAACCTAGCCTATTTATCAATCAGTTTCAGAAATAAATAAGATTAGCTTTAAATATAACGAAATATATGCTTATCAATTTTGTTTTACTAAACTATTTTCAATAATCAATCATTTTCTAACTTATATCTTACATTCTGAAGATATGCTTAGTAACTTATATTACTTACATTTCTCTTAGAAACCAAAAATACTTAGACTAGAGTTCTCTTTTTAAAAATATGTCTTCCATTCATTTCAAATGTGTTAAAAAAATATTCTGTTTTTTCTCTCTCATAAGTTCAACATTTAGTAAAATATTCTTTTATTAAATACAATATGTACATAATACATTGTTTGCATAATATGAAATTGAATTCGAAAGGAACAACAACATTGTTTATGTCAATCATAGGTTGTTAAGATTTATAAGCTTTTATTCGAATGTTTTTTGAAAAAAAAGAAAAAAACTTCATAGAGTTTACCAGGGCATGTGATAAAAAAAACAATTTATTGACATTTTCATAGGAAACTAAATAACAACTGTGCATACTAAAACAGTAATGTTGACTTTTCATGAGAATGTTTGCTCAGATAACTTTTTTTGAATAAATTTATATTCAATACTAACTTGTATTAGTTTGTTTGTTGTAAACATGACAAAATAGTAAATTTTATTTATATGGGTGTATAGGTCTTTAATTGAAGGTTATATTTCAGGAACACTAAATATGAACGAATTTCAAAGATATCCGAGGGGGGTTTTGTGGAGATTTTAATAATTTCAATCGTTGAGATCATGAGTCAATTGAAGCTAGACTACCATAGAAAACCTAGAAGCACTGGACGGCCGTTTCGTCCTATTGTGGGACTCCTCAGCAGTGCACATCCGCGATCTCGCGAGGCGGGATCGTGAATGTGCACTGCTAAGGATATCCTCATAATGATCAATACAATGATTAACGAATTTAAATTACCTGAATTAATATTTTCGAATATGTTTCATTTTGGTTGACCATCTATTTATGCAGAAAACAATTTTATTAAATGTTTAGTTTCACATATTTAACTTTTCTCAACTTTTAAAGAAAAGATTGATTTCTTGTTTATTCATCTATTGGTTATCGTGAACTCCACACCAAGTAGATTCACTGTGAATTGAAGACACAACTTATGACGATAGTCTTTATCAATCAATTATTAAGGAAGTTTTTAACAACAATATAGCGTTGAGTAACTTAAAAAAATATATATATCACTTTTTATCCTGGATTCTTTTGCTGATCACGAGTTGTACTAAATGTTCTTCAAAGGTTTCTTCTGAGATAATGCTTTCAATAGATAGGCATGTAGTACGTAATATGCTTTCTAATTAGCTTTTCATTTCCAGTGGTATGCTTACCATTATTTACAGTATAAATTTGTCAAGTAGAAAAATATTAATTTCAACTGACGCTCTCGTGATACACTAATAGTCCCAATGGTTAATGTCGTTTTGAATGTTTTTAAAATATTTTGAGGCATAAATCAAGAGCCTTTTTATTTAATTCGCTCTTAATCTAAGCATCATTTCAAACGCAAATGGTCTGACATTTAAGAAGTAATCTTTGGGCAATAATATACATCAAGGTCATTTCACGTTTAGTTATCACTCATTAAAGCATAAAGAAAATCAATGCTTTCAATTTACGCAATGACTCAAATAAACGTGATCTAATTAATAAGGTAATCCATGGTAGATTACTCTTTGAACTGTCTATTGTTCGCCTAGTTGTTCTCCTAAAATGAATTACAGAAATGAAATACAAATGAAACAAGACAAATCACAATAAATTCGAAATAAGCGGTAACACATACTTCATACAAAATATACAAATATAAACTTTCATTGATTGGATACCATTAAATTGATTCTGTGGAAACTCAAATGATTTGAAACTTGTCAAACATATTAATAACACATTAGAATTTCGAGACTGAAACATCAATAATCTGGAATGGTTTAGCTCTTGTAATTTTAAACAGTTTGGTTGTCATTTTGATAAGCGATGATGATGCAATCGAGAGTGATCGAGAATTACACACACTAAAAACGTTGGATTAATATTTTTTGTTAAAACACATTTGATTGATACAAAAATAATGTGCTTAATATGAGAGATATGAGATATTAAAAGATAGTTTATAATAAATTGACTTGGTGCTGTTTTACTGATCGATTGCAGTCCTAAATAACCATGCGAATATATAGGTAAAACAAGTAAATATAAACTTAACTCCATTGCGCAAGCACGTGGGCTATCAGGACTCAGTAGCTAAGTGGATAACGCGATAGCGTTTGAAGCGAAATGTACTGGGTTAGAGTCCTTTAGTGAACATCAACTCTGGGATGCAGGTACATCCAGCTGACCAGTCTCGAATAAGACGGAACTCGTGTCCTGAATTCCACTTCTAGCCACTATCCATCTTTCCTTAAATAGTTCATACTAGTTAAAAAATGGAAGTTTATTGCATAAGGAGCAATAAGAATCAGTTTTCTATGCTAATGGAGAAATTATTTTCCCAAGTAATCAATAGATTAATAAAAGTGTTAGTAATTTTCCATACGAACATATATCATGTATAATAGGATAATAATAAATCATCTGATATTTACAGTTTGAAACGTTTTCTTGATTAAAATGTTTTTAATTGACAAATAAGCTTTAAGTATACCTTTTTAGTACAGAGAAAATATAACTAGAATTTCGTCCTTTTTACAGTTATCATTCACAAGGATAACATTTAAAAGTTTTCAGTGTTTATAATATATAATTATAGTGATTTCCTTACGAAAATGAACTTTTATTATTCTGATTTACATATTTATCTAACAAAACAAGGTTTCGTTGTTGGAATGTTTTCTGGTAACTCAACTTCAATAAAAGGTTAAACTATGTACGTTTTAAGAC